AGTTTGTGGCTGGCATTGTGCTAACATTAAGAAAGAGTAAGACGTGGTTTTTGTCCTCAGGAAACTCAAGATGAAATGGGCAGATAAAAAGAGAATTTATTCTACAAGGTAGTGCTAAAATAGCAGTATAAACTTCTGTGGGATTCATGGAGAGGGGGCTTTTTATTATCCTATCACAATATTTGTTTAGTAAGAGGTTGCTGAAAATTTAAACCTTAATTCAAGATTTTGATGGAATTTTATATGTACTTAATTAGAAAGCTACTTAAGGCTTTTCTGTAACTATATATGAATAAATACATACTTAGTTTGTTCTTCTTTCATTAAAAGGGAGAGTTAAGGAATTTTACCTGCTCCTTTCTTTTGTTTTAATACTAAAAATAATGTGCATTGTTGACCACAATTTCATTAGTGATTCAAAGACAATAATGCTCTTTAGAAGGTCTTACCAATGTCTTACCAATGTATACTTTCTGGATAGTATGTACTTAGAATGGTGGTTGAATGAATAATCTACTCTGATGTATGAGCATCCTTGACTAAAAATAGTTAGCTGCTGCAAGTAATTATTAGAAGATCAGTAGATTTTTACACTAACTGTAAAATCCTTGAAAAAATGAAATAGTAGTTGAGGGTGGCAAGACTGAAGGGAGGATTTGTAGGCTTCTGAATTGTGACTGTTTCTTTCTTCAGAAACATCTTTACACATTACTGTAATTTTTTTCACTGTCAATGGAATCATGTTCTGCTATCTAACAAAGGTAGAAGGTTTGTGTGTGTTTGTGTTTTCCTTTATAATAAAGACTAGTTTTTTTTTAACGACAGATAACTGAGTAGATAATGACCCTATTATTTAATATGCTTTAATATATTTGTTTTTTTCCTAACCCTACCTGAAATATGCCATATTGTGATACATAGAGAGTTATAAATTTAAGCTGATACCTGGAGGGAGGAAATACAGGTTATATAGAGCATGCAATTCTTTGGGAGACAGTAAAGCAATTCTGGGTAGTTGACCCTTTAAGTGATTTTTTTTTAATGAGGTATCATTGATATACATTCTTATAAAGGCTTCACATGAGCAGCATTGTGGTTATTACATTCACCCATATTATCAAGTCCCCTTGATACTCCATTGAAGTCACTGTCCATCAGCATAGTAAGATACAACAGAGTCACTACTTGTCTTCTCTGTGGTACACTGTCTTCCCCGTCATCCCCCACCCCCCACCCTGTGTGCCAATCATAATGCCCCTCAATCACCTTCCCCCTCTGTCCCCTCCCTTTTGGTAACCACTAGTCCCTTCTTGGAGTCTGTGTCTGCTGCTGTTTTGTTCCTTCAGTTTTGCTTCATTGTTATATTCCACAAATGAGGGAAATCATTTGGTACTTGTCATTCTCTGCCTGGCTTATTTCACTGAGCATAATACCCTCTAGCTCCATCCATGTTGTTGCAAATGGTAGGATTTGTTTTCTTCTTATGGCTGAATAATATTCCATTGTGTATATGTACCACTAGGTGATTTTTTTTTTCACTGAGGAGCAGAAAACATGGAAACATGAAATGAAAGAGGGAAAGAGAAAGAGTAGTGCCTAAAACAAACTTTGCCTGTTTTGGGAAGGTCTGATCTGTGTAAGAAAGCAGAAGGAAATTGTTAGCTTTCTCCTCCCTGCATAGCGTGGTTTCTTCTCAACTCATGATCAGCATTGTAATTGAGCTAGGTTATTATTTTTTATGTATATATTTATACACTAAATATATATATTTATAATTTATAAAGGTTATTATAATAGCTTTAGTAGGTTAGTTGGAGAGCTTAACCGTGATATGTATATTATTGATTTAGAAGAGTACAGTTTGAGTGTAGACAACTGACTTACATGACTTTTCAGTCTGAATGTTACAACTGTGGCCTACATGTGTAAATGTTGAAATTAAGGTCGATATAATATTATAATCTAAAAACCTTTTAAAAGTTTTGCCTGGGATGTCCTTTGATCTAGGGTCCAATCCAGGATCACATGTTGCTTTTAGTTACTCTCTTTAGTCTGTTTCCAATTATGTCATGTAATCTTTTATTCCTTAAAGCTCTGAGTTCAGTTTGAATTTCAACCTTATAATGTAATCAAATAAATTTAAAATAGTAAAATTTATGGTTACAAATTCAAGTCTTGGTTGATAATATTTTGCTGTTTGGATCATGTTTTTATGTGCAGCTATTCTTCTAAGGTTTCAGGTTCGTTCACCAACTTTCTTTCAAAAATGCCGGGACCAGCATTGGTATATTACTCAATTGGAAGCTGCACAGACTAGCTATATCCAACAAATAAATAACCTTAAAGAGGTAAGCAAAAAACATATTTTTGGTTTAGTGGTTCATATTGTTTTATTAGCCTAATACCTTTGTAATTAGATTTCAGATATTTATTACTCTTTTAATTTTGTAGAAAAATCCAGTTATCTTATTTCTCATTCTCACCACCTTTGAGGCTCTAATTCTATATGGTCCAGTTCAGTAGCCACTAGCCACTATAGCTATGTAAACAATTAAAATAAAAAATTCAGTTCCTTTTTTGCACCAACCACATTTTAAGTACTTATATTGAGCATTACAGATAAAGAACATTTCCATCATTAAATAAAAATTGTAATGGACAGTGCTGCCCTAGTTTGAGGTAAACTCTTTGTGTTTCTCTCAGTGAATTGGGTATTTCTCTTCCCCCAGCAGTCTTGGATTTTGAGGATTCTAAGTTATACAACAATTAAAAGTTGCCCTATCTTGAATTTTCACTATTGTTGAATGAAGTACTGGAGAGGATAGTTAATGAATTATTTTACAAGAGTAAACTAAATTATGAAAAAATGTTTCTGCCAATGGAAACTGGGAAGGGGTGAGAGATGTTTGAAAGTGCTGAGTGTGGTTAATAGGTGACAGAGGAAATATAATAAGTATATACTTTCAGATATTTTCATGTTAAGTGTGCTATTTAAAACTGCTTGTTTTTACAGTTTGCTAATTTTATGTGTAACTTGGTCTGAATATGAGGATAAGGATGAGAATAAATTGAACAGTTTTTCTGTCAGATTTTTCTATAACCAAAAGGCAGGAAGGCATGAGAGAAATAGTTCAAGAAATGATTTTGTGAACATATGGATATATGGATATATTTTTTTACTTGAAATGTTTTTTACTGTATCAGGAAGCATTGCTTATGACTCACGTTTGTGTGTGCTGTTCTTCTTTTAAAAGAGACTTACTATTGAGTTGTCTCGAACTCAGAAATCAAGAGATCTGTCACCACCAGATAATCATCTTAGTCCCCAAAATGATGACACTGTTGAGACCCGAGCCAAGAAGTCTGGCTCAGGCACTGACATACTTCTCCAGGATGGTCCCACTACAGCTTCTGGAAGAGAGGCCAAAGAGGAGGAAGAAGATGAGGAGAAGATTCAAAATGAAGATTACCATGTAATAGTTAGACCTCTTTAGATTCATTTTGTATTTGATAAGAGAAATGATAAGATCATGGTTTCTAACAGATGATGGAGAAATCAGTATGCTGAATATATTGTCTATTTATTTTCATTATTAGTGTATGCCTTTCTATAATGTTAATGTTTGCAAGTCAGGAATTGTTGACTCAAAGTGTTCAAGGTTCTAAAAATTTATTGTAGAAAACTACATTCTACAAAACAAATTGATATACATTTAGAAACTACATGGGTTGTGGATTTTTAAAATGTACTCATATTCCTTCTATCATTGTGTATGTAGGTAGAGTGAGTTAGGATTTGGGAGATAGCCAGGTTTTGTCCCAGCTAAACAACAATCAGAAAGAGACTTCAGGAGGTGGCTGTTACTGTTTAAGGTAAGACAGGGATGCAGAGACAAGCTTTTTTGTTGTTGTAGTTGTTATTTTTAAGATGGGAGAGTTTAAGTGTAAAATGAAGGTATCAGTGGGGAGGGAGATTGAAGATAAGGTTAGGGTATTGACAAGACTATTTAAGGAAATAAAGCTTGGAATGGAGCACTCAGGTGAAGCAATTAACCTTTGATAGAAAGAGTTAACAGGGAGGGTGGAAAGGCAGCTCTAAATTGGAGGGATTTATGCTTAATAGCATGTTTTTATAATGACCTTGAAGACAACAGGTTAGGATGGTCTTGAGGAGTAGTGGTTTGAAATGCTACTGTGTGAGGAGCCTTACTGGAAGCTGATGTAGAATATATGTAGCATTTCCAGTTATATTGGAGGCCCAACTGAAATTGGCAGCAGTAAATTATTAGTGGTACCAGGTAATGTAGTTGTGTGGCTTTTTTCCTAGAGCTCAGCAACCTAGGCACAAGAGCAGAGAATTCTGATGATTATATTATTTGATGTTTTAGTCCATGTGTTGGATGGGGTGATAACTGAGTGAGAACATTTGAAGTAATAACCTTATTTCTTTGCCTTGGTCTAGCATGAGCTTTCAGATGGAGAGCTGGATGTGGACTTTGTTGGTGAGGATGAAGTAAATCACCTTGATGGCAGCAGCTCCTCTGCCAGTTCCACGGCAACAAGTAACACGGAAGAAAATGATATCGATGAAGAAACAATGTGAGTGTCTCACACTAACTGCCACTGTAAAGCAACTAAGTGGTAACTGCTAGAACATACTTTCCAATTTAGGCCTAAAAGTGGGGATAGTCACATTTTTCATGTAAATAAAGTAACTTGAAAGACTGAGTTAGTTTCCTCCCTGTCATCTTTAGGTTCAAAACTGAGTTTTAGTTTTTGTTTTTACTTTTAAATGCAGTTATTTCATATTTAAGAAAAGTTGCAAAAATATTAAGAATTCCCATATTCTCTTCACCCAGGTTAATTCCCCAGATGTTAATGTTTTACTGTTACGTTTCTCTCCTTTCTCTCATTCTATATAATTTTTTGTGAAACTTTTGATCTAGGGGGAATACACTTCTTATTGTGTACTTCCTAAAAACGTTCTTGACGTAACTTGTCTTGCCAATGGATTTCAGTCCCAAGACAAGTTCCTATGGATTCAATGAGACCAAAGAAATGATAGTGGAATCTTCTTGGGGTGAAAGGATTTATACCCAACTTTATTCCCACAGTGGCAGGTCAGTCTCTAGAATCCCGTTCTTTCAGAGCAAGTCTGCCTGCACCAAGCTGGCTTCTGCCTCTGGGCCTCTCAGCCCCACAGCCATCTCAGTCTCTTCCTCAGCGCTACCACCACTCCAGTCCTGTCCTGTCTCTGCTCTCCTGCAGCCATGCAGCTGTGTTCCCCAGAGCGCTGGGTGGAGCTCTTTATATAGAGTCAGTAATGACATATTGCCCACACGTGTATAGTGAGCCATCCAACCAGGGCCAGGTGAGAATCCTGGCCACAGGAGCCTTCACTTTATCCACACACTACAGTATAGTTCTTAAAATCAAGAAATTAATATTCCTATAATATTATAATCTAAAAACCTTTTAAAAATTTTGCCAGTGATATGCTTTGATCTAGGGTTCAATCCAGAATCACATGTTGCTTTTAGTTAAGTCTCTTTAGTCTACTTCTAACTAAATGACAAGTTTGACAAAGTCAAAAATGACTTTGACATTTTTTTCCCCAAATCAGTAAGGCTTTTCTTGGATTGTTAAAATACACAAATAAGTCTAAGGAATAATCCGGCATCTCACTGTTGATGTAGCTGCACAGCTTAGATCTTATTGAAAAAATACAGAACGCTTCACAAATTTGTGTGTCATCCTTGCACAGCAGCCATGCTAATGTTCTCTGTATCGTTCCAGTTTTATAGTATATTTGCTGCGAAAGCGAGCACATGACTTTGACATGTTTGAGAAATATAGCAGCTATTTTGTAGAAATTCCCCCAATTTGGAGTAGTCTGATGCCTCACAATTAGATTATGTGCTTTTAGTGGGTTACTACAAAAGTGATGATGTCGCCTTTTCAGTGCATCTTAAGAGGTGGAAGGGAGGGGCACATGTTTTCAATCTGCCCTATTACTGTTAATTAATTTAGATCACTTGGTTAAGATGATGTGTGCCAGGTTTCTTCACTCTAAAATTACTAGTTTTCCCTTTGTAATTGATAAGTAACTTTTGGAGACATATTTTGAGACTGTAGGTATCTTATTTTTCCTTGTACTTTTGTCCACTAATTTTAGGATCAAGTGATGATTCTTGCATGAAAAAGGTTACTATGTTGATTGCCACATGATGACTTCTAATTTCAGTATTCCTTCCACATTGAACAATTGGAATTCTACTTAAGAGCTTTCCCCTGTGCTCCTTTAATTAATTCACTAATTAATTTCATTAGCATGTACTCGCAGATTTTATATTATTAAATGATTTAATCCATTTATTATCATAATTTATTGCTCATATTATCCCAGATTTGGCCAATGGGAGCCTGTTAAAAATAACTCCTGTGTCTTCTTGAGATGTCCTCATCATTTCTCAAGCACTTTATTTTCTGCAGTACAAAACATGATAGGTTCATCTTGTACTCTCTTTGTCCTTGCCCTGGCATCAGCCATTTCATGAAAGTAAGAGTTCTAACCCCCTATTTGACCTTGCCTCCATTCTGACAAATTAGCTTCTCAAAAAAGACCATTGTCACTTAATGTTTCCCTTTTAGTATGTGTGGCAGTTTGTCCAAAAGGGTTAGCTATAATGTGTGAAGCATTAAGTCCCCAAACCAGAAATCATTACTACAGTGATATGTTTAGATATATAAAATACAACAGATAATTTGAATCAACATGGAAGATTCTTTTAGATGGTAATTAAGTAAAATGGAATCCACTTTAATAGCTTAAATATACAGTTATATCCCAATTAATTTCTTTGTTAAGTCTTTTGATATTTTTGAAGGTTATCATGAGGGCAGTTGGGTTTTACATAAAATTTGATTCACAACCTTTCCTTAGATTGACTTTTTAATCCTTCTTTTAATAGAAGTCATTTATGTCCTCTCTATATCCATGCATCAACAATAGTATTATCAATTCAAACTATTTTGTATAATTCGTAGAAATAGCATGTTAATTGAGCTACTTGAAACACTTACAGAATCATAAAAAGGTTAGATCTTAGAAATTAAGTTCACTTCCTTTTATAGGGAAGGAAATAAGCATGTAGTTTGTTTGGATAATGATCATAATAAATAGCTTTTAACTAGAACATATTGAATAAGCCTTTCTTTCCTTCTGTCTTCTCTTTCTCCACCTTTTCCCTCCTTGATCTTTCCACAATAGTGCTATGTATTTTCTAGCTCCTGTTTTTTTCTTTTTCTTTCTTTCTTTTTTTTTTGAAATAACTGTAAATTCACGTGCAGTTTTAAGAAATAATACAGAGATCTCATAAACTTTTTACCTAGTTTTCCCCAATGGTAAGTAACATCTTGGAAAACTGTAGTACAACATCACAACCAGAATAATGATGTTGATATAATCAAGATACAGAACATTTCCATCACCCCAAGGATCCCTCATGTTGCCCTTTTATACCAGAGCCAGTTTCCTCCTACCTCAACCTCCAAAACCACTCATGTTTCACCTTTCTGTAATGTTGCCATTTAAAGAACATTATACAAGTGGTATCATACAGTAAGTAACCTTTAGGGACTGGCCTTTTTTATTCCACATAGTTTTCTGGCAATCACATAGCTTATTGTGTGTATCAATAGTTTGTTCCTTTTAATGCTGAGTAGTGTTCTATGTTGGGGATGTACTGAAGTTTGTAACCATTCCCCCATTGAAGGACATCTGGATTGTTTCTGGTTTTTGGCTATTATAAATAAGGCTAGTATAAACATTCATGTACAAGTTTTTGCAAGAATATAAGTCTCCATTTTTCTAGGATAAATGCAATTGCTAGATTGTGTGGCAATTGAATGTTTTTTAGTTTTTGAAAAAACTGCCACAGTTTTCCGGAATGTCTATACTATTTTGCATTCCTATGAGCAATGTATGAAGTGAGTGACCCAATTTCTCTGAAACTTCATTAGCAAGTATTATTGTCACTGGACTTTGTCTTAGTCATTCTGATAGGTGTATACTGGTAGATATCTGATGGTGGTTTTAATTTGCATCCCCTAATGGCCAATGATGTTTAACATCTTTTCATCTGCTTAATTTGCCATCTGTATATCTTAATACATCATATTTCTCATCATGTCTTTATGCCCATTTTCTAATTGGATTTTTTAAAACTGTTGAGCTTTTTAAAATAATGGAAAAATGTACTAACAAAATTTACCATTTTAACCATTTCTAACTACAGTTCAGTGGCACTGGGTACGTTCACATTGTTATGTAACCATTACCACCGTCCATCCCCAGAGGTTTTTTTCAACTTCCCAAACCAAAACTCTGTACTTATTAAATAATAACTCTGTCACCACTTTCCTCCATCCCCTAGTGGCTACTGTTCAGTTTTGATAGCTCTTTATATGTTTTAGATACTAGTCCTTTGTCACATACATTTTTTTGCAAATACTTTATCCCACACTGTAGCTTGTCTTTTTATCTTCTTAACAGAGTCTTCTGCCAAGCAAAAGATAATTAACCTTTCAACAATGTTATGTAGTTTTTGGAGTATATTGTTAAATTCATTTATAAGTATTTTATCCTTTTTCATGCTATTGTAAATGGAATTGATTTTTTTTTTTAATTTCCTTTTTGGATTGTTCTTCACAAGTATATGAAAATCAATTGATTTTTCTCTGTCATTTTTGTATCCTGCAACATTGCTAACTTGTTTATTTGAATAGTTTCTTAGTGGATTTTTAAAGTTTCTCTTTTTTTTCTGTCAAATATTTTTTTTTTTTTTGGTATCATTAATCGACAATTACATGAGGAACATTATGCTTACTAGACCCCCCCATCACTAAGTCCCGCTCACATACCCCATTACAGTTACTGTCCAGCAGCTTAGTAAGATGCTATAGAATCACTACTAGTCTTC